ACTTCAAGCTCTGTGCGTGTTGACAAATGTCATCCTTAAGGGCTACTAACACCCTTATCAGGCACTTTAGCACTAAAAATGATCTTAAGCATAAAGAACATTCCACTAGGCCAACAAATGCCGATCTGTTTTATTAGAACTGCCTCTTTGAAGTGAACGACACGAGCCGGCTCCCAGGATTTCTTTTTTCTATCTCTCACCCTCTCTTTCGCACTTTTTTCCCCGCTTCACTCTGCACGAGAGCCTTGTGCTTTGCGCTGGGAAGAGGGGAGCACAGGAACAGAGCCGGAGGGAGAGAAAGAGAGCCAGGGACAACAACTTCACATTAGAAAGATTGTGTTTTGCAGTGTTTTGTGTTGTTTCACTTTAAATTAATTCAAAAGGAAAAAGCTGAAAATTGAAATAGTTAAAAGTTGAAATGTAAATAGTTGGTTTATGTATTATATGATTTATTTATTACATTTTATGTGGAGTGAATAAATAAAAGTATATTTATGGTGGCCCCTAGAGACAAAGCATGTACAAATTCCAAAACACATACGAACTCCAAAACACGTAAAAACTCCATAGCACGTAAAAACTCCGAAGCACGTACAAACTCCGAGGCACATACAAACTCCGAAGCACATATAAACTCCAAAACACGTAAAAACTCCATGGCACGTACAAATTCCGAAGCACGTAAAAACTCAGAAGTACGTATAAACCCCGAGGCACATACAAACCCTGAAGCACGTACAAACCCCGAAACACATAAAAACTCCAAAGTGGCTACACAAGCCAGGAAGTACCAACAACTGTATTTGGTGTGTGATAGTAACAGGTAAATGAACATTTTTTAAAAATTATTTGAATATATATAAATACACAAGCAACAAAAAAACAACAGAACATCCTGAAGAGCTGGTTGGGAGCTGAAAGAGCAGGCTCTCTTTAGTGATCCGAGCCAAAAGAGCCTGTTCTCTACAAAGAGATGGAATTCCCATCACTAGTATTTATTTATTATATTTTATGTGGAGTGAATAAATAAAAGCATATTTACGGTGGCCCCTAGAGACAAAGCATGTACAAACTCCAAAGCACGTACGTAAATACAATATAGCATGTCCTGACTGCGGGGTTTTGGAAACAAATTAAAACGTACAGCTCTGTTATCACTTCCAACATAAATGAAGACAGAAAACTAAACAGCAGTGACGTTTGTAGGGTTACTGAAGTT